GGAGATTCGAACCCGCGACCCTCAGATTGCGAGTCGAGCGCCCTAACCACCTGGCCATGCCGGGCCCCAAAAATAATAGAGGAAGGAAGTTTAGAAAGATAAGTCACCACAATAAAAAAAATGACAAAAAATACTCATTGCCCCCCCCCAAAAAAAATTCGTCTTTTTAACTTTGGTTAGTTTTTAACATTCTTAAGTCTATAGAAACACGCTTATAGTGAAGGCAAACTGGAACTTTGCCCAACTGCACTTTAACCCCATTCATTCAATGTCTATCGTACTCCATCTGGTGGTCACGATTATCCAGTATAGCCCGATACTACAGTTTCCATTGTAACAAGCCTTCTAAAATGTATCACAAACCATATTCACGCCTTTCCACAGACCTATACAATTTACGCCACTCAAGTTCATAACTTTCCACAGACCTTATACAATTTACGCCACCCAAGTTCACAACTTTCCATAGATCTTATACAATTTATGCCACCCAAGTTCATAACTTTCCACAGACCTTATACAATTTACGCCACCCAAGTTCACAACTTTCCATAGATCTTATACAACGTACCACCACCCAAGTTCATAACTTTCCACAGACCCACTACAATATATCACCTTCCAAAGTCACGTTTCATCAAATCAAATACACACGAGTGTACTGAAACTGCATCTGGGGAACTGACAGGTATATGATAAAAGGGGGATTCCTGTAATTCCACTTTCTTCAGCTAGTTTTCTCAAGAAAACAACTGTTAGTTTCGAAATTGGGCTGGAAGTTTTTAAACATTTGACTTGTTAACCTTCGTCAACTTTGAATCATTTACAGTAGAACCGGGATTATTTCTTATTTAATTGCAATGGCCTTTTTTGGGGTCAAAGGCTTTTCTTTCGTAACTATAGTCTTGGCTTTGTGAGTAAGAGCATTGCTCTGGATTATGCTGTGATGTAATTTCGTTTAATGATGTAGCTATATAAATATTTTTCTTTAGAAAGAGCTGTGAAATGTCTGTCTAGCCATACATTGTAGTTCAGATCAGCAGCGACATCTGCTGGATAAGCATATATAAATCGTTCTTGTAAGCTCGATGACCCTCTTTTTGTAAGTATAGAAGGACTGGTCTTGGTACATTTATCTACTTTATTCAAACAGTAAGTAGTCTTTGAGACACAAATTGTCACTCAACCCGACTGATTAATGGTAAGTTTACGAACTTACAACGCTAAAATCTGGAGTTCAATTCCTCGCGGTGAAAAGAACGCAGATAGACCATTGTGTAGCTTTGTGCTAAAACAAACAAACTTAACAACAAAAAATATAGATATTAATGTTCCCCCATAATTTTCTAATTACCATTTTACGCGGGTTATTTTTAACCTGTTGTTGTTGTTGATATTATGACACATTGATCCCCAGTGTTGTTAAACTGGAGAATTAATAGTTGGTTCTGATGTTTATGTCAATTATAAGCCCTTAGACGTACTGTTGAGTCACTAGATGGCATATTATTGCAGACAATTATTTGGAAGACCACATAAGTTTGAGATATATCGAAATTTTACTTTCTTGCTTGTTCTCATAAGCTAAAATTTGGGTTTCGATACCAGCGGTGAGCAGAGCACAAATAGTTTATTGTGTAAACTAGAACTTCACAACAACAACAAAAAAACAAGCTGTAATAATAATATGATGATGAAGAATAAACATTGGAGACATTCCAATCTATGAAACTTGCCATAACCCTGAAGCACGTGACTGCCAAATGTTTTATTTTACTTTGTACGGTAACGAAGTGTTTAGTTAATCCTCAACTAAGAACCTTAATAATCAGAATTATTACGCTTTAACAGAGAGATATGTTGACGTTAATTAGGTATAAATTTACACAGTGAAACCTATGTGTAGCGGCCCTCGCGAAGTAGTCCAATTTTACGCTTCTTCTTCTTCTTCGGAAACATAGCCTTGGAACCGATAATAACATGCATATGTTTTATAAGAAACCTCTACGCTAATTAGCAAAAACCGTTCTTTCGAAACACTAAACTAGAAAAATATTAATACGTGTAAGAAATTCAAAATCAATTACTCATAACAGCAAACACATGTTATTGTTCCACACTTACACTTAAATAAAATGTTTTTATGTCATATTTAGCAATTATATATGTCCGCTACTCGACGTAATGAACAATTACAGTACAGTAGTGTTCGACGTAATGAACAATTACAGTGTTAGAAAAAATTATATTAGTTTATGAGAAATAAAATTTCGTCGCTGTCAGAAATAGTAAATACGGTATATTGATTTATGAGAAATAAAATGTTTATATTCTTAGAAACAGTAATAAAATGTAATATCTCACATTATGAGAAATAAAAATTCCGTCATTGTATAAGAAATTATTAAAAAATACAATATTATTGTCTAAAGTGATTTACCGGAAAAAAAATTACCTTAAAGTTCACTTTTAGGCTTAATAAAAATTCAAAGATATATTGTACAACAAAAGGAAGCAATGGTATTGATTCAACCTATCTAACATAATGTTTCATATATATATACCCGTCCCTAATTCCGAACTATTCACCAAAAGGGGTACAGCCAGTCAACAGAACCCACCGCCTCAAAGGCTTTGTCTGGCTCTTTGAACCGATTAACGAGATTGACAGTCACTTACATAATGTAGCCATAGTTGAAAACTTGAAGCATTTTCAGCGGCGTCACGGCTCGAGCCTTGGGCTTTTTGATACGCAGCCTACACGCTAACCACTAAAATAAGTCATGTTGTGGCTTATTGTGAGTAAGATTAAACAGTACTTCAACGACTAAATTCACAGCACAACGTTACATATTTTGCACAATGAAAATTTGGGGATCGTTAGTTCCAATCTCCATCCCACCAAATCTGCTTGCCCTTTCAACTGTGGGAGCCTTATAATGTGACGGTCAAATCCCACTATTCGTTGGATAAAGAGCAGCACAAGACTTGGCGGTGGGTTGTGATGACTAGCTGCCTTCCCTCTAGTCTTTGACTGCTAAATTAGGGACGGCTAACGCAGATAGCCCTCGTGTAGCTTTGCGCGAAATTCAAAACAAATAAAAGCTGAAAATACAGTAAAATATTTTATAAAACAAAATACAAAGTCGCTAAGAATTTAAATATGTTTGCCTGTGTACGATTGATGAAAATTATATATATATATACAATTGTTTGTAGTTAAGCACAAAATTACACAACGGACTATCTGTGCTCTGTCCACCACGGGTTTCGAAACCCAGTTATTGGTGTTATAAGTCCGCAAAAATATCGCTGTGCCACTAGAAGTGTGTGTGGTGGGGGGGGGGGGGGGAATTACAGCTAGCTAACAATGTTGTAGTAGCTGTTTAGCATGAGGAATGACAGTGATCACAGAATGCACGGA